GTTAGTCCGCAAGGGGACATAACACTGTAACTGATGGGGATGCGCGGTGGACAGTCGTACAGCCTGGCGGGTGAGGCGTGTGGTCCTGGGTTGGTGTGTCGGGGGTGGAGCCATTTTCGAGAGAAGAGCGGGAGAATTATCGCAAAGGGCTTTATACAGGAGGCAGAGGGCAGCGATGGTGCGGGGAATTATGAGGCTAGGAAGCCAGCATTGCGGATGTATTGCCTTGATGGCTCGCTCCTGCACCCAGTCCAGCCGATTCAAGTGGGAAGGAGCTGCCCCCATCCAGACGATTGGGCAGTACTCCATAACCGGCCGGACAAAGGCTTTGTAGGCTCGAAGCCGGGCAGGAATAGTCAGCAAGTGAAATGCCTTGCGCAAGGCTCCAAGTCTCTGCGTTGCTCGGACTACAACAGTTGGGATATGCTGGCTGAATTTTAGCTGATGGTCAAACGTGACGCCGAGTACTTTGATGGAGGGCTGCTCCTCGACAGGAGTTCCATTGAAGACAATGGGGGGTATTGGCCAGTCCCGACGATGGTGGGAAATTGTAAGGGCCTGAGATTTGGCTGGCTCGAACTGCACTTTCCAATCCGAGCCCCAACTGGATACTAGGTCGACAGCAGCCTGGAGTACTCTAGCGTTGTCAGGAACAGCAGCGAGCGTTGCAATCTCGGCGTATAGGGTTGTGTCATCGGCGAATGAGGCAAGGTTGGAGCCGATTGGGAGGTGGTCTTCAAGGTCGTTGACGTAGACCAAGAATAAGGTGGGGCCCAGGATACTGCCCTGTGGCACCCCAGCCTTAACTGGGCGTCTGGCTGATGTCTGGCCGGAGATGAGGACTTGAAGTGTGCGGTTGCAGAGGTAGTCTTGGAGCCACCGATGCAGGTCTCCCGAGATGCCATACACTCTAGCCTTGTGCAACACACCAGTGTGAGACACCCGGTCAAATGCTCCAGCAATGTCGATGGCCAGCACTCGAGAAGCTCCTTTATCTCCGGCGGTGTGCACCCACTGGTGGTGGAGAGCAGTCAGCAGGTCTGCTGCACTGTGGCCGCGACGGAATCCAAATTGCCGTTCTGACAGGACGTGATTCGTCTCCATGAAGTTGCTCATTGCCCTGTTGACTATGGTCTCCATGACCTTGGAGAGGATGCTCAGTAACGACACTGGTCGATAGTTTGATGGCGACGATTTAGACTTGCGCTTGTGGACTGGAACTACGTTTGCAACCTTCCACTGTTGTGGCTGGATACCGGAGCGAAGACAGCATGTAAATAGTTTTGAAAGCGGCCGTGCCAATTCTGCAGAGCAAGCTTTCAAGACGCGGGCAGGTATCCCATCTGGACCAGTGGCCTTGGTGGGGTTGAGCTGGCGGAGAGTTCGCTCGACTGTGGTTTCGCGAAACCGGACGGTGCAGAGGTTGCGGTCAGTACGTGGTCGGACGTAAGGAAATGGAGCGGATAGGTTGTCTGCCCCTAGACTGCATTTGTTGGCGAAGTGTTCGGCCATGCACTCTGCTTTGCTGCGGTTGGTGTCGTGCTCCGTACCATCGGTGCTGCGGAGAGTAGGTATGGATGGGCTGTTTCCGTGGCCAGAGGCCTTCTTGATGGTTCGCCACCATTCACCAGACGCCATACACCCAGAGGCTAACTTCTGCGCCAGGCTTGCTGTGAATGCCTGCTTTGCAGTTGCCAGGCAATGGTTAGCCGAGTGCTTGGCGACATTGTAACGGGCTTGCAGCTGGGCACTTGACCGGTCGGCGCAGAGTCTCCTCCATGCTCTTTGTTTCTGTGCTACAGCCTCAGTGCATTCCGGTGTCCACCAAGAGGGGTTAGATGGTTTCATGCACAACTGCTTAGACGGTATGTATCGGCGCATTCCTTCCAGAATATTCTGGGTCAAGTGCATACACATTGCATCAGGATCATCACTGACAGTGGACTGCCAATCTGTTGTTCTAAAGAAGTGGCGGAGTCTGTCCCAGTCTGCGCGTTGGTAACGCCAGACAGTTCTGGTCACTGGTGGTTCCTCTGCTTTGCTTACATGAAAGTCAGCTAGGACACAGGCATGGTCAGAGTTTCCCAGAGGTGCTAAGGTATTGACGGTCGCATCTCCCGGTAGGTCAGCCATTATTAAGTCGAGTGGGTTAAGGCCCCTGGTGGGCTCATGCACTTGCTGCTCCAAGCAGTGAAAAGCACACATGTCTTCAGTGTACACACCTGCATGAGTTGTCTTGGTGCTGCCGAGCCAATCCACGTTGTGTACGTTAAAATCTCCAGCCAATACCACATATTGACAAGATTTACGGGCCAGGTCAATGCCAGCACTGATGGCTTCAAGGGTACTGATGTCATTGTCGTGGCAGGAGCCAGAGCGATATGCAGCACACACAGCCACTGACTTCTTATCCACAGTTCTGACACTCAGCCATATTAGCTCCTCATTACCGACCTGGATGTCATCGAGTTCTCGGAGGGCCAGACTGGCTTTAACCCAAACCGCAACTCCTCCTCCATGAGCTGTTCGATCCTTCCGCAGTGGGGAGTAGTACCCAGGCAAGGACAGTTCGGAATCAGTAGCCTTCTCAGGGGTTAGCTTGCTCTCTGTGACAATGGCAATGTCAGGTTGGTGAACGTGTACAGCATGGTGAAAGTCACCAAGTTTACTCAGTAGTCCAAATGTGTTCGTCAGCAGGATCCGAAAGGATCTAATTGGAGCTTTGAGCTTGAGTGTCGGAGGACTCGAAGAGAACGTCACTGTGTGATCCGGACAAGGTGTCCCCCTTTGGAGCATCACTGAGAGTGTCACTGTGTGAGCCGGACAAGGTGTCCCCCTTCGGACGCTCACGGTGGCGCCAAACCCGCGCGTACAGTGGGCGAGGCCAAAAGTTTGGAGCAGTGGCGATTTCAAGGTCAGTCGCATCGATCATCAAGCGGGCAGACACTTTCCCATCTTCTGTGGTGTGTATGCTGCACTGGTGAACCTTCACCGGTTTGTTTACTGCTGCAGAGCGTTGCTCAGTGAATTCCTTGACACTTTCTTCACTGCTATGTGAGTTCAAATTGCCCACATAGATTACGGCTTTCTTCACTCTGTGAGGTTCGTTTGATACCAGTTTCCACGTGTCATCCGTGATTGGCTCTAGCTTCAGTGGCTTGGGCTTGACAGTGGGCCGCTCAATTGCCTGGGACTTGTCCTCATCCTCCGTTGGCGTTTCATGGTCACTGGCAGGGTCACCCACGCTATGGGAAGTGCTACGGTGTTCGTCTGCATCAGTGGTACACGTGGCAGCCTGGCCTGCGCGAGTACGGGTACGCTTGCTGGTCCTTCCCGCTGTACTCTCCATCGTACGCTGGCTGTGCTGGTTGTGGGCAACTGCTGGAGGAGTCAGGGGAGAAGCACTTGCTGCGACAATGGCGGACTCCCTGAGGGCGACAACCTCCTCGTTCAGGCCTGCAATTTGCCTCGATAAATCATCGATCCTATTCTTTAGTCGTGTCTTGCGGTCTGCGGACTCCGTCACAAATGTTGCCAGCGTCTTTACTACGTCTAAAATCGAAGACTCGATCCCGGGGAGGGAGCACAACAATTTTACCTCTGAATCCGTCAGCCCGCGAACGGCAGCTTTTGCTGGAGGCATGGCGGAGGTAGGCCAAAGCTATCCGATGTCTACCTAGTTTCCTACTACTACTACTATACCTAATGTTTGAAACCAGGCCGGCCTGATGCCGGTTTCCTGGCGAGAAACTGTGGGAGCCTCAGAGCGCGAAAACCTGCACCCTGCTCCAAAGTTTGAAAAGAGTGTGTGACGGCATCATCGTGGAACTGCGCTTGATAGTGCTGTATGATAAATGATTGTTGTTCTATAGGGTTCACAACCATGCGCTTCATTTCGTCATGGATGACTGGTTGGCAGTACGGCTTGCGTTTCATCAGTTGGACGGCGCGAAACATCTTGGCCCCGTCGCGTAGTCGTTCTACTTCCTCAGCTTGTTTCGTCACAACTGCTTTCGCTTCATCAAACCTGAGCTTCCTGATATTGTGAAATATGCGATCCCTTTTCGTCTTGAGAGTTCTCTTATTCTCCTCATCTTTGCATTGGGCGATGGACAGCCGGAGTCCTCTTTGCTCATGTAATAGACATGAAATCTCAGGGGAGAACTGATGTTTCCGTGGCGCACGTTGCGCAGCGCCGACACACCGCTCCATGGCAGTTTTGATACCATTGGCCAGACCATCCCATGCAGCCTGTGCCGATTCACTCTCCGCCACAGGCGCGGAATCTAGAAGTCGGGCATTTGCCTTGTCCTGGTAAGCTTGTCGTTGGGCATGGTTCGTGACCAGTAGTTTCAGGCCTATTCTGGTTCTTGTCATGCACTCCATAGAAACGAGATACGTCCAGTCTGGCCACAACCAGGCGATGAGCACTGTTCAGCAGAGTTCCTGCAAATGAACGGGCATCCGTTAGGAGTTGTTTCTGGTCTTGGCGGCAGCATATGTAGTCGATAGTATTATAGATAGGGACGATTGATCCCGTCGCAGTATCTCTCCTCTGACCCTGCCACGTTGTTCTGTGTCTGGCGCTGTGTTGGAACGCTGTGTTCCCAGCAAAGAGTTGATGGGCCTCCATGAAATCAGCCAAAAGCTACCCATGCTGACGACTAAGCAACACGACGAGCATGCGCGACAGAATGAACAACAGAAGGTGTGAAAACATAGTGCACATGACCACTCAAACTGCCAGAGGCCGGAGCGTGACAATGACTATGTACACTGGTTCAAAACACCGCACACACAAGTACTCGAACAGTGACATACACAACGTTACGTGGGCCACAATCATGTACAAACAAGTGCAAGGCTTGAACGACTCGAGAGTACTTGTATACAAGAGAACAACACGGGACTTCAATTCCGCAACTTAGGGCGAAACAACTATTTGTCTGTCTGTCTGTCTAACAACAGTATTGTCTGTGTGCTTCATATTAATTTCATAGATATTTAAAGAAAAATCAGATCACAACATTAAAGAATGTCAATTTCACTGGTCTAACAAACCTCAAAGAGCTGTAAGTACTGTTCAGGACTCAACTTCTCCATGCTCGAGTGGTACCTGTTTCGTGTGGGTTACGTTTCTATACTGTTGTGGTAGATTTGGTGTCACGTGTTTGTTTTGTCTTGGTCACTGTGGATACGCGTCATTGGTTGGTGGTGTTGTGCGCATGCGCGAAACTGTGTGAGCTAGTCTTTGGTCTGTCGTCTTGTCAAGATGTAGTCGTTTCCGTGTTCTTGTTTATTCGTCAATAAAAAGAGTGTAAAAAGGCAGTCCAGTGGTGGCGGTTGAGCTGATGCAGGATGGAGAAGTAATGTTAGAATCACGACTACAACATTTGGCGCCCAACTATCTCTCGACGCGGAGTTCTACCTCCGCAGCTCACGACCCTGAGATGTGTGTTGCTCCCGTCACTGCTGGACTGTCCTTGTTTATTCGTCAACCCTGTCCGTGTTCGAACGTTCGTCGTGGAGCTGTGTCGTCGTGATGTGTCGTCGTGCGGTGTCGTCGCGCAATGTCGTCATCCACTTGAGTCAACTGTGTCGTCGTCCGGTGTCCCGTCGTCGTCGTCGTCGTCGTCTACTCAATTCGATCAAGCTGACGCCCTCCGCTGAGCTGTGTTCAAGTGTCGCTGTGTGTCCGCCGTTTCGTTGTCCTGATACGAGTAGAGTATCAGCTTCGCCGCCGGCTTCCTGCTGCTCCGAAGTCGTGTGCTGGCTGGGAATGCGCCGCCTTTCTTCTCTCCATATCTCTCTTCTTTTCTTTGTTTTCCGGTGAGTGTTTGTGTGTGTGCATGCGTGCGTGCATGCGGGAGTTTGTTTGAATTGCTACTTGTCTTGGGAACTGGCGTCTGATCATGGTGAACCACGGTTGGTTCTCCTTGTGGCAGTCCACATCGAAGGCAACGAAAGTCTGATCAGGGTGAGCCCCGGTTCATTGCTGGGAGCTAGACTCGCTGCTTGTTTGTCGTTGTCATGTATATATTTTATTTATTTTTGTTTTTTTCGGTGACAGTCATGGGTTTGGCTGGCGTTGTGTGGATGGGCAGGGCTCATCGGTTTTTAGGCTTAGGTTTAGCCTGTGTTTTTTGTGTGTGTGCGTGGCTAGACAGCAATGAAGTGTTTCTTCTCTTCTCTTTAACATTCACCTCTCTTTCTTTCTTCTGGCTTTGGTTGCCCTGTTTTATTCTGGGAGCTACATGCGTTGGTCCTGTGGCTACTTTTGCTGTTTGCGGTTGCGTCTCTCTGCGTATTGTGTTTTATTTGGTCATACCGAGGACGGTATGTGTTTTTTTGGTCGGGATATTGTGGTAGATTTGGTGTCACGTGTTTGTTTCATCTTGGTCGCTGTGGACACGCGTCATTGGTTGGTGGTGTTGTGCGCATGCGCGAAACTGTGTGAGCTAGTCTTTGGTCTGTCGTCTTGTCAAGATGTAGTTGTTTCCGTGTTCTTGTTTATTCGTCAATAAAAAGAGTGTAAAAAGGCAGTCCAGTGGTGGCGGTTGAGCTGATGCAGTGATGGAGAAGTAATGTTAGAATCACGACTACAACACTGTAGTCGTACTTTTTCACTCACATAGCAACCGGGTTGTACATGGGGTGGTGGTCTACCAGAGAATGTACAGAGAATGTACTCACAATAGTGGTCTACCAGAGAATGTACTCAGTGTACCGTAGCACCACACTCAGCCACACGCCAGCAAAAACCAGCAGAGCCAGAAAGTAACGAAGAGCATGGCGGCCAGCAAAAGAGATGTCAGTGCAAGACTCAGGCAGAGCAATGTCACGGGGGGGGGGGGGACTGGGCAGTGGGGGAGCGGTTAAAAATCTGACTCCCTAAATTTCCAGCCACGACCGCTCAACCGGGCTGGGGAAAAACTTGCCTTGCGGCCAAAAAAACCTTCTACTAATATGGGACCTGCCCCAATGCCAGTCACACCCAAAAAAGAAGATAAGCAAGTAGTCCGTCCGTCCGTCCGTCTATCTATCCTGTTTGTTTGTACCGGTTATTCTCTCTTTCTTCTTTCTTTATTTAACTATCCGGCGTTTATTTACCGCCCCTTGGAAAAAATGCAGAGCTGGAAAAAACAGTGTACAGTGCATGCATGTCTAATATGAAGTGAACAGAGCAGCGTATGACGTTCAGATCGTTTTGAGACAGACTCTGGATTCAAACATAACACTCCTCCTCCTTTAGATAAGAAACGGCGTGAAGAGTAGAATCCTGTTGATACTAAAACAAGAAAAGAACTACTGCATTGCAACATAGAACACAGTAAAAGGAAAGCTCACAGAACAATTAACAAAACTGAATGAGCTGTACTAGAATCATGACAGGACTGTTAACGTCATTATATTTCTTCAATCAAGCGTTGAAGGGGACGATGCTGTGTGCTGCGTGAATTGCGGACCACTGTTGCTGGCCAGGGTCTTCGCGATGCCGTACGTTGACAAGAACGACAGTAGGCACTCCAGGGTCTGGTGGGTTGGCGTAGAAGACATCTTGCAGACGCTGAGCCACTTTGATTAGGTGTCTACAAGCGGAAAATAGTGCTGGACGTCGTGTTCGGCAAAGTCGACATGCACTCTTTCAAAGTGCTTGGATGGATTTATCCAGGGATGTGGTGCTTCCTTGGGCGGAGTGTTAGTGGTGTCTTGGCACTGACGGCATGACGTGGCTAGATGCTTGATATCATCATCAATGCCTGGCAACCAGAAGAAACTACGTGCAACGGACTTCATTCGCAGAATGCATAGGTGCCCATCGTGCAGCTCCTGCACCAGCGCGCAGTGAAGTTGCTCAGGGAGTATGGTTCGATGGCCTCTCACCAAACAACCAGACTTGATCGTCAGCTCGTTGCGGCATTGGCGGTAGGGTTGTAGTCGTCAGGGGTGTCGGCGGGCCAACCGAACTGAAGATACTGCATGATGCGTGAGATAACGGCATCGCCTTTGCTGGCTGCGGCAACATCAGCAGCAGAGACAGGTAGAGGTTCACATGGATCACGGGCATGCTGGAGAACGGCATTCACAATGCCTGCTTCTTGCTGCTCGGACAGCTTCAATGGGAGGCGGGATAAGCAGTCAGCGATCACGCTCCATGGCAGGACGCAGAGCATACGGAACGGGATGAGCTGAACAACAACGAGGGGTAGCTTCCTGCTTCAAGTGGATCGCAGCTTGGTGGTCCTTGCCGGAAACTCAGTGTTGAAGTCATCCTCTGTGCTAGACACTGAGTGATGTGGAACAATGATGGCCAGTCGAGACGAAGACGGCACAACTAGTTACGACTGAGTAGGAGATGGCTACTGCCCTTCACAACCACAAGTACTTGACGTAGGCATTCATCGCGCTATGCTGGGGTTGCTCCGGTGATGAGAATGTCGTCATAGAAACAGACTACACCGGGGATGCCTTGCAGGATCTGCATGCACGTATAATGTGTTGTACACACAGAGCTGCGAATGGCGTACAGATCATGCACATACAGACTATGGATTCAAATATAAACAGCACTGCATAAGCTGTTCTTATCATTATTACCTGTGTTGGGTACCTCCTCCCGTACCTTTTCTAGCTGGCATGCATGCACTCGCGTACTCAACATTATAACAGCAGTATTTTCTGTGTGCTTCATATTCATTTCATAGACACTTGGACAACGGGAAGATCACAACATTAGATAATGTCAATTTCACTGGTCTAACCGAAGTCTATAGCCTGTGAGTACTATCAACTATTACAATGAGTGCTACCTACCGTGGTGACATGAAAACATGCATAGAGTATCACTGAAAGGCAGACAGGTCAAATACCATGATGAAGCAACAGAGGGTACCAAGTTGAAGTCGACAGGAGGAGTTTTCCAAATATTTTCTGGGTTCGAGACATGGTCAGCGATTTTGCATTCTCAACTCAGACCTTGGAGACTTTAGCCTTTTCACGTTTGCTGTGATGAACGGAGAGCTTTCCGTTTGACTAGATTTTGTTTGTTTGGTTGTATCTCCATGCCAATGCATGACCACTGTTGCTTTCCTGAGTGCACCAGCTGATAAGAAAAGGAGCAGAGCCTCTCGATCCATGCCATCCCCAAAGTTCCAAAACCGAATGACTGAAGAACAATTCATTCATGCAATACGTCGAGAGTATGTGGTATCTTCTCAAAGTCCAACCTCCTAACTATGCAACACCAGGATTCATACATGAGCAGAAGTAGAATGATTAGTCCCAGGTTATAAAAATGGCATTTGTCTGCCAATTACGTCATCATGAACCTCTGAGTGACAACATCACAGCCAGCAATCGCATGTCATCACGTACATTGAAAATCAACATAATTTTGCGAATCGACCTTTTTTCAGGATCACTTTTCAACGAGGACGAAGCAAAGTCGGCCGAACGAAGCCTAGAGGAAGAAAATCACCCTCTCCACTTCACCATCACGATACTGACATAGACACGAGATGAAACAACTAAAAAATCCACAAGAAAACTGTACGGCCATCATCGTGCTGACTTTGGTCTGAGAGTTTTCTATCACGATCAAAAACGTACGAGGAGCACTCAAAAATAAGCCACAGACGTACCTTTATCGCTCTCTACTCCTTTTTCAAGGCACAAAAGTCGACTCTCCACTTTCAAACCAGGAAGCAGACATACCAGTGGTCCTTTTCAGCTGCTCCACGAGAGCAGGAAATGTTCACCAAGGGGCGCAGAGCAGCATCCATTCCAGAAAAGAGCTAAAATACGAGTGAGACGGCATGCCTGAGTACAGTCGTCCCTCTCTAATCCGGCACTTGTTTATCCAGAACCCTTGCCAACCGGCGCACTTTCTGACGAAACCGATTTTTTTCGTTCAATTCCTACATCTTAATCCGGCACTTGAATTCCGCCTCCGGCAGTGACTTTTTGAGACGAATCGCTCAAACTGCACGTAGTTTGATTTCATAATCCGGCAGTCGTAAATTGCGTACCGTACAGGTGCACTCCTTGCCAGGCCAGGCTAGGCCAGTCTGGTCAATGTTGTCCAGGAGACAACGGCGAAGCAGTCAACCATACTTTCTTATTTTAGCAAGGAGTAGTGTCCTGCCAATTTTCAGGTGTGTGTATGTGTGTGTGTGTTTGCGTGTGTGTGAAAGAGTACATGTGAACATGTTCTCTGTTTTACTTTATCACTTTATCACTGTGTATATTCCTGGAGAAAAGTGGAGAATATAAAGCCGTGCACCAAATACTTGGGTCGACATGGAAAACCCTGCGTTTTGACGTATGATACATGCATGCAATTGGGTAGGGCCGGGTCAGAGGGGAGGATTTCTTAATCCAGCACCCTCGTTAATCCAGCAGAAAACGCCGTAGCAAAAGGTGCCGGATTAGAGAGGGACGACTGTACATGAGTACATGTATGAGTACATGCAGAAAATAGTCAATTTCAGCGTTTCTGCTCCAAACAGCAACTAGCTTCGACTAGAAACAAAGATTACACCAAAGGATCAAACAACAACCATTTTCTGCAGTTTTTTTGCAGATGGCTTCCTTGTGTTTGGCCCAGCACGCCAAAAATCACACCTCGGAGGAGTACAAAAATGAGAACTCCCAGATGTCCTCAATTGCTGGCCATGAATTGCAATGTGATCCCTCTCTCTCTCTCTTTCTTATGTTTTTTTTACTAGAGCCACGTAAACCCGTCATGTGTGAGCCATAAATAAGGGGAGTGGTGACGTGGTCTGGGATGCTCTGCCGACCTTGGGTCTCGGCTTCATCACAACCAGGCACGCCAATAGCAGAGAGAGAAAGAGAGGGAGGGAGGGAGAGAGATAGAGAGAGAGAGAGAGAGAGAGAGAGAGAGAGAGGGAGAGAGAGAAAGAGAGACAGACAGATAGAGAGAGAGACCGAGAGAGAGACCGAGAGAGAGTAAGAGAGAGAGAGAGAGAGAGAGAGAGAGAGAGAGAGAGAGAGAGCGGGGAGGGTTGGAGAGCAAGAGAGGGGGAAAAAAAACTAAATAAAGTATAAAAATAAAGGATGAGAGATAGAGAGAGAGATAGATAGATAGATAGATAGATAGAGAGAGAGAGAGAGAGATAGATAGATAGATAGATAGATAGATAGATAGATAGATAGAGAGAGAGAGAGCGAGCGGGGATGGTTGGGGAGCAAGAGAGGGGAAGAGAACTAAATAAAGTATAATTATATAATGCGTAAGGGGTGCACATTCAGATCCAGAGACAAGGGTAAGCAGGGTAAGCAGGGCACGAGGCGTATGGCAATATGCAGCAGTATGTGGGCACTGGGCAGATGTGCATACATATTACAAAGTGTCAGCGGCCCAGTGCCATTGCTGGGCACGGAGGTGCCGGAAGACAGACACTGAAACTTTGCAGCCGTTTCCAGTCAGGTGGCTTGCTGAGGACGGCGGGTGGCAGGGCATTCCATACAGGGACAGCACAGGCGGGGAATGCTCTACGGCAACTTTCCCGGCTATTGGCAGGTAGCCCTGTCTCCAGCTGGTAGTTATGCATGTCGAGAAGGACGAGCAAGAGAGACGAGTGGGTCGAACATGGGCTGGTCGGGGGGCTTGAGAGGGAGGCAAGAGCTGACAAAGTGGGCTGGTAGGATTGGAGCACAGCAGCTTGTAAATGTAGGTACACGCAGCTACCATGCGCCGGATAGACAGGCTTTGCAGCATTGCGCCGGGGCCAATCAAGTGGAGGGCTGAGCGTTACGTCTGGTCAAGTCGCTGCAAGTGACAATCTGCTGCGCCCATCCAGACCAATGGGCAGTACTCCATTACTGGGCGTACAAACCCACGGTACACTTTAGCTCGGCTGCAAGAATCCAGGAGCGGCGAGGCCTTCCGCAGGAGCCCGAGACGCTGGCGTGCTCTGATGGCGACAGTACGGAGGTGGTTGCGGTGGGAAAGTTGGCTGTCCAAGGTTACCCCAAGAAGCTTGAGGTTACTCTCTCCATTCAGGGGGGCACTCGCAAACTGTACTGCTGGCAGGTCCCAGGCGGGGCGGTGATGGTCAATAGTCCTGGCCTGGGACTTGGCTGGCTCGAACGCAATTCTCTAGCTGGTGCCCCAATTCACAAGGGCATCGAGAGCATTTTGCAGGACTGTTGAGCTGTGGTCAATGGTATCCATGGTGGACAGGCACTGAAACAGCGTTGTGTCGTCGGCATAAGCGGCCAGATCTACACCTGGTGGAAGGTGGTCATCGGCATCGTTCGTGTAGAGAAGGAACAGTGTCGGTCCCAACAAGCTACCTTGCGGAACTCCGGCTGTGATGCGGTGTGGGCTGGACGACTGCCCACCAACGATGACACTCAGGCGCCTGTCCAGCAGGTAGTCCTTCAACCATGCAAGGAGCATGCCGGATACACCGTACTGCTGGGCTTTGTGGATCACACCTGGGTGGGAGACTCGATCGAACGCTCCAGCAATATCTACAGCAACAACCCGCACAGCTCCGCCCCCTGCAGCCACGGTACTCCAACGATGGTGTAGTAGGGTAAGGAGGTCCTGCGTTCCCAGGCCGGAGCGGAAGCCGTACTGGTTAGTGGTGAGGATGTGCTGGCGCTCAAGGAATCCCATAAGGCTACGATTGATGATAGCTTCCATGACCTTTGACAGTATTGGCAGCAGGGATATGGCTCGGTAGTTCTTTGTTGCGGACTTCGAACCCTTCTTGTGCACAGGTACAACTGAGGCAAGCTTCCACAGTGACGGTTGCGTATAGCAACATCAGACCTGCACATTCCTAGTGTTGTTGCAGTGTTGTATTGTGTACTAGTAAACTTTACCTGTATAACAACATTTTATTGTTTTTATGTAGTGTTCCCTTTATAAAAGCCAAAGCATTTTCAAGATTCAAAGAGCCTGAAACAGCAGATCAGGGCGCTATCGTGAACAATCCTAGAAAATGCGATTAATAGTATAAGTGAAGCGGACATTACAAAATGATGAATGAGAATACATGTATCTAAAATTTGGAACAACCATTTTAGATACATGTATTCTCATTCATCATTTTGTAATGTCCGCTTCACTTATACTATTAATCGCATTTTCTAGGATTGTTCACGATAGCGCCCTGATCTGCTGTTTCAGGCTCTTTGAATCTTGAAAATGCTTTTATTGTTTTTGTGCTTCATATCGATATTTGACCAAAAATCAGATCACAACGTTAAAAACTGAGTTGTGTAGATATTCCAATAATGCTAATAGGAATAGTAGTAATACTCTTAAAAAGGACACACTTCAGGCCCTTTACGAACATCTTGAGTATTATAGCATTTTGTCTCAGAGGAAACTGTTTACTTAGGAATAGTAGTAGTAGTCGTAGCCCACATCATCGTGTCAACGAACTAATTTTTACTACACTACTAGCCTTTACCTGTTAACAACATTATTGTCTGTGTGCTTCATATTCATTTCATAGATATTTAAACAAAAATCAGATCACAACATTAAAAAATGTCAATTTCACTGGTCTAACAAACCTCAAAAAGCTGTAAGTACTGTTCAGGACCTGTCTGTGTGCTTTATATTGTGTGTTTCATATTCATTTCATAGATATTTTAACAAAATCAGATCACAACATTACCTCAGCTTCACCTCCGTCTTTTGCTCGGCTTTTATTTCCTATATTGACCTCGTACGCAGTCAATATTATACTGTAGTCGTACTTTTTCACTCACATAGCAACCGGGTCGTACATGGGGGGGGGGGGGGTGGTCTACCAGAGAAAGTACAGAGACTGTACTCACAATAGTGGTCTGCCAGAGAATGTACTCAGTGTACCGTAACACCACACTCTCAGCCACACGCTAGCAAAACCCCCGGATGATCCGTCGTTATCATTTCCAGCTCTTCGTGCCCACAGCCAACTTCATGAAACATTTGTTCAGGTCATCACCACAACTGCGGATGTTAGAAAGGCTATCGCCCGACTAAAGTCTCGCCGCAGTCCTGGCTTGGACACCATTACGAATGATGTCCTGAAGAAACTTGCCCCGTCGATATCGTACCCCCTCTGCCGTATTTTTAGTGTGTCCTTTTCGACGGGTAAATTTCCAGCAGCATGGAAACTCGCGAAGGTTGTTCCGGTTTACAAGAGCAAAGGCTCCAAGTCACAAGCCAGCAATTACCGTCCTATCTCTTTGTTGTCCTGTGTATCGAAACTATGCGAGCGATTATTCTTTGATAAGCTTTATGCTCATGCGTCGCCGGCCCTTGCCCCAGTCCAATCTGGTTTTCGACGAGGAGACTCAACCACCATGCAGCTGACACGCCTTGTGCAGGACATTGTGGCCCTTCGTCATGACCACCAACACGTTTGTATGTGTTTTTTCGACCTAGCAAAGGCGTTTGACACGGTATGGTTCCGTGGACTCCTAGCTAAATTATCTGCGATGTACAATGTTTCCGGAGCGTCTCTGGCGTGGATTACGGACCACCTAACAGATAGAACGCAATCAGTGTCAGTCGAAGGGGTACTCTCAGACCCACTGCCTGTGAAGTCGGGAGTCCCCCAGGGATCTATACTGGGGCCTCTACTATTCTTGTTGTATATAAACGATCTACCTGACTGTATAGATGGTTTGTCACTATTTGCTGATGACACAGCCCTCATTCAGTTTGACGCCGACATTGCAAACCTGTGTACGAAGCTTCAGAATGGAATCAATGTTGTTCATAAATGGATGTTGTCATGGCGTCTGAAACCCAATATCTTGAAAACAGAAATAGTCTTTCTCCCTCAACTAGACCACCCTCCCACATTTACCCTTTCCGGACTTGATTCGGCTATTAACATTAATATTGTAGATACGCACAGGCATTTGGGTGTTGTATTTGACTCGCAATTGTCCTGGAATTCTCACGTAGATTTTGTATGCAACAAAGTTAGCAAATCTGTAGGTTGCCTAATGTCTCACTGCTCCCACTTGTCCCCCGAATGTATTCGTCTCTTTTATAAATGCTACCTCCTTCCTATCTTTCTGTACGGCGCCACTGCTTGGCATTCCCTGCTTAGTAAATCTGCTGTACAGACACTAGAAGTATATCATAAACGTGTGTTGAAAATTATTTTTCGTAAACCCTCTCTTTTCCCCTCTACTGATCTATATAGTTTGGCCTCCACCAGCCCCATCTCTATCCTGTCGCAGAGACAGTCATGCGTTCTGGTCCATCGTATTAAACTGAACATTGTCCATGAACATCTCACCAAGTATAATTGGTTTACTTTCGCACGGGACACTCGCAATGGCATAGTACTTCCCAGAGCTTTGTCAACTATGTTTACCAAATCTCCTATCTTCTCTGCATACTCGTATTGGCTCAAGCTGCCCATGGAAATGAAGACAATATCCAATATTAGACAGTTCATAGACCATGTTAAATGTCATGCCACGTTGTAGGCTCGCTCGCCTCTTTTGCTAGCTTATCTCGCCGCTCTCCACCATGGTCAACATAGTGATACATTTCACCCCGCTAATGCATTATTTTCTTCCGATTATCATCTTCTTTCCTTCATTTTTTTCTTCTCTTGCCATGGCTGGCTAACGCCCCCTCCTGTGCATTGGCTTCTGCCATTGGACGGTGAAATAAATAAAAAAACAAAAACAAAAACAAAGCCAGAAAGTAACGAAGAGCATGGCGGCCAGCAAGAGAGATGTCAGTGCAAGACTCAGGCAGAGCAATGTCACGGGGAGGGGGGGGACTGGGCAGTGGGGGAGTGGCTAAAAATCTGACTCCCTAAATTTCCAGCCACGACCGCTCAACCGGGCTGGGGGAAAAACTCGCCTTGCGGCCAAAAAACCCTTCTACTAATATAGGACCTGCCCCACTGGCAGTCACACCCCAAAAAAAGAAGATAAGCAAGTAGAAAAGAGTAATCATACAAACAAAAACGCCGAGACCCTCGGGACAGAAGCACAAAACATAGCCTGCGACATACCATGGAAATCCCGAAAAACAACACACAATACAAGCTAAAAATGTACAGGACCCAAGGGAGGGAGGGCGGGAAAACCCCTAGATAACCCAAGGAACACAAGACTACGATGGCAGGTGAGGGAGATTTGCGCAGTGGAAGAGCAGCAGTGCACGACAGAAAATGGTGAGTGAAAATTACGTTTTTACTCTCTTTCGATACGCTCAGCCGTGAAAAAACAACCCTTTTTTGCACTCACATAGCAACCGGGTTGTACATGGGGTGGAGCTCTACCAGAGAATATACTCATGAAGCAAAGGATAGTAGCAAGTCATGCTGTGAGTCTGTGATGTACTTATCCTTGGAGGACGCGGACTCCAGCCACCGTGTCGTTGCAGCAGTCTGTCCGCGACGCCCGAGTTTGCTGCGGCCATCGCACCACCTGATCGGAGGCTGTGGAGATTGTATGATGTTGGGTCAGTTTGGGTACGGCCCACCGCCAATTTGAGGAGTTCCGTCACGGGCTCTGCTGTAGCTCATGGGGCCGCGCACGTCTGGCCCAGAGGGGGCGGAGGTTTCTTTGCCCAGTACATGTTGGCCGGGTGAATGTCCTGCTTCCTGGAGAAATGTCCCTGTTATCCCTCTGCCTCAGTTGGTCGTTCTTGCGACTTGGCAGGTGCAAGTGTAGCGGGCCTGGAGGCAAAACAACCTAACAACTCGCAACTAACTAACGTGTTACTTTATTAACAGTTTTCTCTCTCTCTCTCTAGACTCTGAACTCATTGTGAAAGATAAAATAAACATAATTTATGGAAAATAATCACAACCAGCAACGTACTGTCATGCGACCGTTGTATGGTAGAACGAACGTCGTAATGAACAGTACGCTGAGCGTATACGCAAATGATGAGCTGGTAGCGAACGTCGTATTGAATAGTACGTTGTAGCGTGACCAACGCGTGACCAACGCTACACAAGGACATATGGGTCGGGGTAAAGTCCCAGGGCAGTAGGGCGAAGAACTCAAAACAAATCATGGTGGCACATTGCAGATCCCCCAGTGATGCCTCTGGTTGGGCCAGGGTGGACATCAGCTGGCGGAACAAGGACAGTGAGATCGGAGTGCGGCGGGAGATGGGACGTGCACAGATACGGCGAGCGGCGACTTGCAATTGCTTGATGACTGGTTCCGCGATCGGATCTGGGTGACCGGCCTTACGGTGCAACCAATGTAGAGCTGCGCAGCCTTGTGCGACGAGGGCACACGTCGTGCCTTGTTGGATCAAACTCATTAGGCATAGCGCCACATGAACTGCGCGAGCTAGGAAAGGGGCAAGTCCGGCCCCAGAAGCCCATGTACGCCAGCGACCAAATGCTTGCAGATATGCCCTGCCTGTAGATGGTGCCACGTCACTGAGCAGGACGACCGGTAGCGCGTCGACCAGGTGCTGAATGGCTGGATTCTGTATGGACACTAGTCCCATCCAAAAGGGGGAGGATGCTGAACAGGGCACATGCAAAACGCACGCACGCACACACCCACAGACAGGAAAATGAGACACGGGGGGATCAGATATGTACAGACTGTGTGTTGCTCCTGTGAGTTTTATTGGTGTTCAGTCCACGTGTCATGGGTTTCCAGACTCTCCCAATCGGTGCACTTCCCAGGGGTCTAACCCTCCTCTGCCTCTAACATCGCCATAACCCTACGTGTACGATGTATGTTGTGTGCAATATGAGCTGCGTGAATTGAGTAGGGGGCCAGGGGTGACAACCGCTGCCCTGTACAACCCAGGCCTCATGTTAACACAGCTTCACGCCTAATACCAGCATGCATACAGGCAGCCATTGCCAACATCACTGCCCTTCGGGCTTCTCCCTCCCTCATCATCACTGTCCTTCGGGCTTCTCCCTCCCTCATCATCACTGCCCTTTGGGCTTCTCCCTCCCTCATCATCACTGCCCTTTGGGCTTCTCCCTCCCTCATCATCACTGCCCATCGGACTTCTCCCTACCTCATCACCAATGCCCATCGGGCTTCTCCCTCCCTCATCATCACTGCCCCTCGGGCGTCTCACTCTACATGGGTATGGGTAAGTTCATTGAATAGGCAATTCACACAGAAAATAAACGCCCTATGATGGCCTATACTGAAAAAGGCAGGAACAGAACAACATAGGCAGCAAGCGCAAGAGAAAAAAACCCCAAGAGACAAAAATAAAGGCAACAGGGGAGGGGGGGGACAAGGTAACCAAAAAATCTAACTGAGGCCGTACGGTGAGACCACTGATGAGCACAGTTTCAGAGGGAACAAAAACGGACTGCATGAAAACAGAAAGGTGGTGTTTGCGGCCCAAAGAGATAGACCGGTTGTGATGTGTGCATAAATGAGCCGACCCCATGCTGGGAGGCTTCTTGGGTAATGGTGAACGGTGCTGCAACTATTTATGTTTTTCTTTAGTTTTATTTTGTAGTGTCTTAGTCTTGCCTTTGTTGCATTGTTTTGGTTGCAGGCGTAGTCTTCTGTACATGTATACACCATAGAATGCTAACGTCATTGTCGCGCGCGCACGCGCGTGCAACATTATTTTGCGCGCATGCTTATATATGCTGCCGCGATGTTTGTCCCTTTCATCAGTTATCAGTTTTGCCTCGTCGTGTCCGGTCTTTTTGTTTGTCCGTCTCCATCTTGTCAAGAAATTAAGTAGAACTTTTAGTTCAGTTGCGCTGTTGTGTGTGGCAAGTCGGATGGGCGGGGAGGCTGGGCCCCTAACACCTGGAGAAGATGCGCTGGTGCACAAAAAGTTACACAAAAATGGACACGACGTTTTGGTTGTCGGTATTCAATGGCCAGACAATCGACACACTAAAGAGATTAGGGCAAAGCGGGCAGCAAGCAGTTCCGTCAATGTGGAGCTGGTGTGTGTGGCTGACATGGCCTGGGGCCACTCGCCCGTTGTGATATCAACCCCGTTCATCAGGCTGAAACCACCCCACCTGGAGTCACTGGCATCCGTGAATACCAATTGCGGGGCCCGGCAGACCAGATAGGCCTCCCATGAAAATGATCAGATTCAGATTGCCAAAAACTTAATTCAGACTTAGCTTAGATGCTAAAGTGGGATAGCTATCTCCCAGCCTTCTTCTAGGGTTGGGAACAGACATGCGTGCAAGCTTCTTGTCTGTAAGCACACCACTCAGCCCAGAGCAAGCCACATAGAGCTGAGCGACCCCGTTAGTTTGGCAAGCAAGCGTGCAGGCACTACAGTGGGGAAAGACATAATATCAGCTAGCAGCAGTTTAAATTTGGATACACAGTTCGGGGTGACATGAATACTGTTGTTGGCCATGTAGTGACATGACCCAAGATAGAGGCCACCTGCCGGGGTTGAAAATTACTCTTTTGCTTGTTGATGACAAGAAAGCATTTTTTCAAATCGGACCTCACAAGTCGGGCAACCCACTGTGTCTCTTCCGCGGAGTTTGCAGCTCCGGTTCCATCATCCAGATACAGGAAAATACTTATGCCTTGGTCACGCCAATGGTTGACCAAAGGCTGCAGCACTTTTGTAAACACAAATGGGGCGGGCTTGAACCTCCAAGCTAACACGAGGAACACAAGACCATAATGGCAGGTGAGGGAGAGTTGCGCAGTGAAAGAGCAGCAGTGCACGACAGAAAAATGGTCAGTGAAAAATACGTTTTTTACACTCTTTCGCTACGCTCAGCCGTGAAAAAACAACACTTCTGTCACGTCTGGTAGTACGTTCCAGAAACTGACCGTGGTTGCTCCCCTGGGGAGGGAAAAGACCCATGTACCACGTTGTGTAATCGTAGGTGACATTTACGTTTTGTTGTTCTTTCATATTAT